ACTACACCTCCTCCCTATCTCTGTCACCTCGTCCAGACCCTACACCCCTCCCTATCTCTGTCACCTCGTCCACTACACCCCTCCCTATCTCTGTCACCTTCTCCAGACCCTACACCCCCTCCCTATCTCTGTCACCTCCTCCACTACAATCCCTCCCTATTTCTGTCACCTCCTCCACTACACTCCCTCCCTATCTCTGTTACCTCCTCCACTACACTCCCTCCCTATCTCTGTCACCTCCTCCACTACACTCCCTCCCTATCTCTGTCACCTCATCCAGACCCTACACCCCCTCCCTATCTCTGTCACCTCCTCCAGCTCCTACACCCCTCCCTATCTCTGTTACTTTCTCCACTACACTCCCTCCCTATCTCTGTCACCTTGTCCAGACCCTACGCCCTATCCCTATCTCTGTCACCTCCTCCAGTTTCTGGAACCCTCTGAGATCTCAGTAGTGATCCAGTCCCATGATTTCTATCACCCAGTGATTGGTGTGTGTGCCTTCAGCTGAACTGAGCGCTGAGGTTCTGCTATTCCCTCCCTAACCCTCAACCCCTCTCTCTGCGTTTCAAATGTTCCATGAAATCTCCCACTCTGACCAGGATTTTGGCCACTTGTCTGAATAAGGCCTTAATGGACTCAGTGTCAAATTCTCTTCGATAATGATCCCTGGGAAGCAGCTTGGCTGGGTTTCTTCTTGCCTGAGGTGCTATATCAATGCTGGTTGATGTTGTTGAGTTGCAGTGCTGACTGTAATGGTGGAAATCCTCTCCCCTCAGGGGGATATTTTATCAGGGTTACCTGTGTACAAGGTGTGGAGCTGGAGCACACAAGGAATGTTTGGGCAGAGTCGGAACGTGCAGTAAAGCAGCAGCAGGTAGGTCCCAGAAGGAGCGCTGTATTGGAATTTCACTGCGATGCTGAGGGAAGGGCACATTGAAAATCACACCTGACAGACCGATATCATACTGTGTCTGAACATCACAAACAACCTGTTCAGAGATATCATTGTGGACCTCAGGAGCAGGCGAGACTTGAACCCAGACTTCCTGGTACAGAGGTAGGGACACTACCGCAGCACCACAGCCCTGTTACATTATAGGGAAATATGATTGTATCAATCCCCAAACTAACCCCACTGCCTCGCTCTCTCCCCATGGCCCTGTATCAATCCCCAAACTAATCCCACTGCCCCACTCTCACCCCATAGCCCTGTATCAATCCCAACTAATCCCACTGCCCCACTCTCTCCCCATAGCCCTGCATCAATCCTCAAGATAAACCCACTGCCCCACTCTCTCTCCCACCCCCCACAGCCCTGTATCAATCCCCAAACTAAGCCCACTGCCCCGCTCTCTCTCCCCCCACATAGCCCTGTATCAATCCCCACACTAATCCCACTGCCCTGCTCTCTCTCCCCCCCACTGCCATAGCCCTGTATCAATCCCCAAACTAAGTCCACTGCCCCGCTCTCTCCCCATAGCCCAATATCAATCCCCAAACTAATCCCACTGCCCCGCTCTCTCCCTATAGCCCTGTATCGATCCCCAAACTAATCCCACTGCCCCGCTCTCTCCCCAAAGCCCTGTATCGATCCCCAAACTAATCCCTTCGCCCCGCTCTCTCCCTATAGCCCTGTATCGATCCCCAAACTAATTCCACTGCCACACACTCTCCCTATAGCCCTGCATCAATCCCCAAGATAATCCCACTGCCCCACTCCCTCCCCATAGCCCTGTATCAATCCCCAAACTAATCCCACTGCCCCGCTCTCTCCCCATAGCCCTGTATCGATCCCCAAACTAATCCCATTGCCCCGCTCTCTCCCTATAGCCCTGTATCAATCCCCAAGATAATCCCACTGCCCCGCTCTCTCCCCATAGCCCTGTATCAATCCCCAAGATAATCCCACTGCCCCACTCTCCCTCCCCATAGCCCTGCATCAATCCCCAAACTAATCCCACTGCCCACTCTCGCCCCATAGCCCTCTATCAATCCCAAAATTATCCCATATCTGTTTTCCTTCTCAGTTCCTGTCAAGACTGTGCCTGCTTCCAGGGGTGGGGTCCATCTGATCCCTGTGGATGATCTGAGTTACTTCCGGCTACTTGAGGAGCTGCGATGGGATAGTGCCGGGGGAAGAGCCAATCAGGAGCAGATTGTGATGGATTGAGACAGTCCGGTTCAGAGCTCTGTCTCCAGTCTCAGTCCCGGGATATGTTTCAGGAACAACCAGCTCTGGATTGTGTGACTGAGCAGCAGCAATCTGTCTGGGCTTGTGGACTTTACTAACTGAATGTTTAATTTAATTCCAGATTCTGGAAGAATGAATCAGGGGGTAAGTGTCGCAGCAAACATCTCTCCACCCTGTGTGTGTTTGGGTGTGTGTGTGTATGTGTGTGTGTGTGTGGGTGTGTGCGCCTGTGTGTGTGTGTGTGTGTGTGTTTGTCTGTGTTTTGGTGTGTTTGAGTGTGTGTGTGTGTGTGTGTCTGTGTTTTGGTGTGTTTGAGTATGTGTGTGTGTGTATGTCTATGTGTCTGTGTTTTGGTGTGAATGTGTGTGTGTGTGTGTGAGGGAGAGTGTGTGTGTGTGAGAGAGAGTATGTGTGTGTGTATGTGTGTGTGTGAGAGAGAGAGAATGTGTGTGTATGTGTGTGTGTGAGAGAGAGAGAATGTGTGTGTATGTGTGTGTGTGAGAGAGAGAGTGTACGTGTGTATGTGTGTGTGTGTATGTGTGTGTGCGTATGTGTGTGTGTGTGTGAGAGAGAGAGTGTGTGTGTGTGACTGTGTGAGAGAGAGAGTGTGTGTGTGTGAGAGAGAGAGTGTGTGTGTGTGAGAGAGAGAGAGTGTGTGTGTGAGAGAGAGAGAGTGTGTGTGTGTGTG